AGGAAGCATTTAATCTTTTATCAAATCTCGCAAGTGACTGTTAATGGATGACCTGGTAGATGATTGGGTCAGTCAACCGGGTGAACGACCGGATTAGGAAAGCCAGATTTGATGAAATAATTGGAGTACATCATATTAGATCAAACTTTTACTCAAATTTGATGAAGCATTGAAGATACTCTAAGATAATCAGAAATGGGTGGGGACTAATTGTTCGAGAGTAGGATTAGTAGTATGGTTTGGATTAAAAATTGGGTTAGTTATACTTAAGCCTCCCTCAATTATTAGAATAAATCACTTAATTCCATTCGTTTATGAATTCGTACATATGGACCTTCTTAATTATAAAATTTATATAAATATATCGTTTAGAAGTCATGTACATGATCTACACAAATTGAATAATTTTACCAACCTATTAGTTGGAGAAAAACATGTAAACTTGACATAACCATTTTTGGGCTGCTCGACAACTTTTCTTGTTCAACTTGTAGGGTAATTTTTTAGTACAAACCTTCATATGTATGTTATGTTATTAATGAGTTTTTTTTTTTTTAATTACAAATAACAAAACCTAATATTATGAAAGTCATAACTAAAAAAAAAAAAAATAGAATTATAATCAAACATCACATAATGTATAATAAAGAACTCTTGAATCATAACCAAAATTATATCATAACTAATATTACATTAAGTCATAACTAACAACACAATAGCTTGAATCATAACCAAAATTATATCATAACTAATATTACATTTAAGTCATAACTAACAACACAATAGATCATAACCAAAGACATAAAGGTGTACTATATAATTTCCCCAACCGTATACATCATCAATCTAGAATAATTATTCTAGTCAACAAGGTGTAATTTTTTTTTTATCTCAGAACCCTAAATAGAAAAGAAAAATTATTCATCTCCTAATAGACGTCTCCCAATTTCACCCCAACAATGTGGATGAAAAACATAGAAGTTGAGAGAAAGAGAGCAAGAGAGAGGAGTGTGGGTGTTTCTTTACATATGCCTTAGTCATTTCAGTGACGGTGGAATTAGGACCTCAATTAGGAGGAGTTTTTTTCTTGAATATTCTAAAAAATGAAACTATTTATGAAAATAACCCACCTTTGAAATTATCTATCAAACTAACAACTTTTATGAAATTGAAACTTGAACTTGCGATTTTACTTTGAAATCGAATCTTTAAACTACGATTTCATCTTGAAATTAGATCTTTAACTTGTGATTTCATGTTGACTAAGAAGACATAAGACGTGTCAGCAATCACTAAGGGGACATGTCAACATAAAATTGCAGGTGGAAAGTCTAATTTCAAGATGAAATTGCAAGTTCAAGTTGCATTTTTACAAAAGTAATTGATTTGATAAATAGTTTAAAAGAAAATTATTTTTATAAATAATTTTATTTTTTAGACTATTCAATAAAATAAAATAAAACTCCAATTAAGAGACGTAACAGGACTGACTAGAAAATGTAATTTGATGTTTTGATAGTGTTGTCCTCTTTCCCACTCCTACCTCGTTTTCTAATACAGTAATATTACAAATTCAGACTTAACTACTCAGATATTATCCAGAATCATTATTGTAGTTTACATTTATTCTTCACATGGATCTCACGCCACACAAATTTAATCTCAACTACACAATCTCTTTTGAGGTAAATTCGGGATAGTTAAGGTGGATTCATAACATTTTTCTTTCTAATATTATCTTTTACATCATAAAGAAAAAACAACACTACAAATCTACCATTATCAAATCAGAATTTATCCAGAAAAAGAAATCAATTATTCAAATTCATTTTACTCATGGACCCTACACTTTATCAATTTAATTTCCACCATATAAACACATTCGGGGTAAGTTATAGGCTCATAAGAATGGGTTCCTAATATTCTTCAAGAAAAAAAAAGATGAAAGAGAATTCTATCGTACACATCCCATATCATATGCACTCTTAATTATGTCATTTTCTTTTTTAATTATAACTAATTTTTTTCTTTAATTTTGACATTATTTTCAGATATTTGATTATGATTTTTTTAAGTTTAATTGTGACTTTTTTATTTTATTTTAATTATGACTTAAAAAATATAATGCTATATTATTATTTTATAATTATAAAATTCATATGATAAGTGTGTACGATAATATTTTCTCATAACATGAGCCCGCGGATGTTTATGGAATCTTATTTTCAACAATTTTGCATATCAAAGTCTCTATCGTGAATTCTCACGCGCGCGCACATATATATATATATATATATATAGGGATTGACTTTTTTTTAGTCTGTGATTAGATTGGAAGGTACATATATATATATATATAGGGATTGACTTTTCCCTAGTATGTGATCAGATTGGAAGGTGTTGTTGGGACAGTAGAGGCTTTTTGAGAGTTTCAAAATTTGTAAGTGGGGGCCCAAAGAAATGGGAGGTCAAAAAAAACACCACCCTATGATTTTATGTATAGAGATCAAAATAAAATTTAGTGTAAAATGTACTTCACCCTAAAAATATCATTCGCATGTAGTGGATCAGAATCGGTCCATACTTGATGACATACTAAAGATTTGATCAAAAATATCTTTCACATGTAGTGGATCAGAATCGGTCCATACTTGATGACATACTAAAGATTTGATCAAAAATATCTTTCACATGTAGTGGATCAGAATCGGTCCATACTTGATGACATACTAAAGATTTGATCAAAAATATCTTTCACATGTAGTGGATCAGAATCGGTCCATACTTGATGACATACTAAAGATTTGATCAAAAATATCTTTCACATGAAAATACAAAACTTAAACATACTATAATAATAGTTTGTGCCATGCACAAGTCTATGTAAACTAGTGTATATATATATATATATATATAAGAATTGCTTACCTGCTTGAGGTTCGTCTTTTCTTTCCGATTTTGTCTTTTCATTTTGAATAATTTACTAATAGTGACCTTTATGTTGAGTTAAGGTTTTTTTTCGTAATTACGCAAGCATTCTTGGTCAATCATGCAACAGGTTTTTTCGTAATTACCCAATCATTCTTGGTCAATTATAAAACATAAATATTTTTATTTTTTAACAAATTCCAAATACACCCATAAGATTTGTTTAAAATAAGAATTGATCCTATAATACTAGAAATTACAACTATTGTTTGCCATAAATTTTCATTTAACACAATACTCAGGGCAAAAAAAAAAAAACCAATTCTCCTATGCAATAATAAATTATCAAAATTGTTTATTGAAATTATTTCCTATATCATTAAAAACTATTAATTGATTTAATGATTTATTTATTAACAAAATGGTTAACTGAAATATTTTTTTCATATCATTACGAATTGCTAATTTACTTAATGATTTACTTATTAATAAAATTGGCCATTCGTTATGCGAGTATGATTTATGTATTAATAAAATTAGTTATTTGTATATATATGTATTTTCTTTTGCTTCTTTATTAGTTCAATGAATTATCTTAATAGTTTTTTTTTAGATAGAAGAATTATCTTAGTATTTGTTTTATATTTATCTGTTGAGAAAAACTACATACCATAAATTTTTGGGAGATTTATTAGAAAATCTTATTTCAAATGTTTGTATTCCAATTAGTCTATAAAATATTATTAATAAGTCCTATTATTTGAACATTTGATTTACTAAATTCTAATTCTCATATTTAAAGTATTTTATGGATATTTTGACCAATATTTTTTGAACGGTTAGCAATTTGGTAATGTGAATATTCATATTTTACAATGAATATTCACATTGACAGTATGAACATTCACATTGACGGTGCGAACATTCACATCAGGAAACATTCACACTACGGAACATTCACATTACAGAACATTCACATTGTAAATGTGAATATTATTAGGGGTATTTTGGTAATTATGTCACCCATAGGACTTATTAGAATATAAGAAAATAATGTGAATTAAATGGAACATATGTAGGTGAAAAGGGATTTATAAAAAAGTGTCCCTAAATTTTTTATTTTTTTATATAAATTCACAAGAAATGTTAAGACTCATAAATTCAGCCAAAAAGATATGGTAATAAAATTAGAATCTACATCATTGATTGTATAACAAATAAAAAAATAATACATATCATACCACATAATTCTATTATATATCTAATGATTTATTCTATTCAATTTCATCAAATAATATTTTAATTTTTTAAAAATTATCAAAATATAAAATATAAATATACTATAATAATAACCCGTGCCTTACATTAAACTAGTATATATATAAGTGGTAGAACCGAGCAACTTGAGGATTCGCCTCCAGAAGCAAATGTCATTGGTTGCAATGTGAAGCCAAGTGTCTTTAATTTATGTAGTTTTAATTTGAACAAATTTAATCTTACATTTTAATCTTGCTGTAATATAATTTCTCTGTTATTTACGAAAAACCAACATGTGCAAAATTAGATAAACCAAAGTCAAATTCAAAACAAACTATAGAAACCATTGGAGTAATAAATATATTACACCAGTAATCTCTATAATTTGTTTTAAATTTCACTTTAATCATTCTAATTTTGCACGTGATTTTTTTGCTCAAAATGTTAACACCATAGGACATGAGAACTACATTATAACAAAATTAAAAGTGTAGAAATCAAATTATTCAAATTAAAACTATGATGACCAAAATAAAATTAGAAAAATTGCAATTCCAGTGTAGGTTTTCAAAAAAGAAAAAAATTTTAAATCAATGGTAAATAGTAGAAACTTTGATGATTAAAGTTATAAGCTTTTTCATAAATTTGTAAATATTTTGTGAAAACTCAATTGATTTGTTATTTTTCTAATAAAATTTTGCTCAAATTAAAGGATTTAGAGGACCAGTGATGTAATTTACCCTTATCATTTCATTCCCCATGTAAACATCAAATATATAAGGTTTTATATATTTTACTGTGTGTTGCAGAGACATGAACAGTGTTACAACCATACTCAGCCATTTCAACATATGTTGCAACTTGCAATGAAACAAATTATGATGGGGACAAAAAAATCTAAATGAAAAAGAAAGAAACCTAAATACACAAAATTTACGAGGTAAGCTCCTATATTATAAATAAAATAAAAATGCAGGTTAAACTACAACTGAGCTGATCAACATGAGAAAATGGAATTGAAATTTGGAAAACGGCCCACAGGATCATATATTCCGGACTTCAGTGATGCCCCCTTCTAAGGTTTTAAATATCAACCATTACATATTGTCTTGCTGTATTGAGATTTTGGACTTTCAATATTGTTATTTATTGATATATCAGGACAATATTATCTCATATTGGCCGATATACAACCGCGTTGCCAATACCGATTCATAACCCGATACTGTTATTTAAAACTATGGTTCAATGTACCGAACTTATCCCAGACAGGTGACCTACCTCCTTGCTAATCTGCTTCAGAATCTCTATAATTTCAGAGAAATTGGGTCTTAGAGTTGGATTTTGTTGCCAGCACTTTTCTAGCAGTTCTGCAAGCTTTGGGTGAGTGTGCTTCGGAATTGTAGGCCGCAGACCCTGATAACAATTTCGACAAAAGTGAGCTATCATTTCCTAAAATCTCCACTACTGAATTTAGATATTTTTACTTAGAAAAAAATAATAATAATAAAATAAAGAAAAAAAAGAAAAAGAAAAAACCGATACCTGTTGTACAACACCAACAGCTGCTTGCAAAGGTGTCGAGTACGAGTATGGAAGCTGGCATATTGAGTCATATCATACAATGTAAAGATGGTTACTGTGATGATGATGATACCAACAGAACTACAAATGAGAACAAAACACAGAAAGGCTTACTTCTCCTGTTAAAAGTTCCCAAAGCACTATTCCGAAACTGAAAATGTCAGCCTTGTGATCAAACGGTTTGTGTTCTATGACCTTCAATGCATAAATGTCAGGCTTACAACAACGAAGGTGCTTTACAAGCACACACAAATCCAAAAAACAAGCAGACAACAGGTTTCCATATATCAAAGATATTTGAAAAACCATGTGGGCCTTAGATTTCTACAAACAGATATTTTAAAGAGAATTATCCGTTGTTGACATGGAATTTATTGATAACAACATTTTTATGACAAGACATGAATAAAGCACATACGACACCAAGAAGGTCACAGCAAATAGAAAATGGAGCTAACCATGACTAATGAGCCACAATAAATTCAATTTTGGGTACACATAACTCAACACCAAAACCATTTATTTACAAGTGTTAAAAATGCTGCAACAATGCTCTGGAACATAAAATATAAAGGTATCATATCATAATCCACTAAAAAAATTAAAAAGAAAATGAAGCAGAAGAAAGAAGAAAAACAAAAAAAGAGGTTCCATTTCAACACAACTTTTAACAGGTCTGGGCACCAAAAATACATGGTGAGACAATCACGGAACAACTTCGATATTGGCCAGCAAGAAAGTCCTATGCTTACGTAGCCAAGACCTTTTCGTCTCTGCACAAGGCCATTAACAGTTCTCGGCACCAACAATGTATAGCAAGATACTAATGAATCATGATACAACTACAATTAGTAGCGACTTTTCAGCAAGGAACTTATAGTAACATAGCCAAAAAAAAAAAACAAAAAGGTTACACATTGGAAGTGACAGAAGTCCAGGCTCAATGTATGAAAACATGCTTACCTCAGGAGCCATCCAACGGTATGTTCCAGTTTCTGCAGTCATCACTCCAGATTGAGCTTGCACTCTTGAAACTCCAAAGTCAGCAACCTTAACAACCTATCCAAGAGAATAATAGAATTTTCACACAAGAAACAAAAGCACAAAGAAGGTAACAAAAATCAAATTTAAATAAAATTCAAGAGATTTAACACAATGCTTCAGTAAAGAATTGGCCACTTTCAAATGATGTCCGCATGATTTTGACAATGAACTCACCAAAATATGCAAAATATATTTCCTATGGCCACAACTCAGACAGATGCTACGAATTGTCACAACTGACATTATAATGTCTACATGTAACAAACAATCAACATTACTCAAAACACCAACTGGCCTATGAATTTTAAGAATTGCCAAATATGAATGTATTCGCACCATTCAAAGGGCAGGTCATATGTATAGCAAAAGCAACTGGTTTATTACTACTGTAATCACTTTAGTGTTGTATTTTCTTTGAATTTACATATAAGACAGAAAAAGATGGAGCAAAAACTAAACACTGATCTCAACTGTAAAAGAAAAAAACTTTCAGAAGTATTACAATGCTACAAAATATAAGCAAATTAGGAAGAATGATTTGAAAAGCGATACGATTGAAACTATAATACAAAAGCAAAAAAATGGGCATAAAATTCAAAAATGCCAGAATTATAATACATTTTAAAAGTAGAAAGGAGAAAAAAAATGCCAATATAATGATAAAATCACCGTGGACAGAAAGAAAAATATCTGTATGAATACAGAGTGAAAGTAAATAGACAAACATGAAACTTGTAAGAAGAAAAATTATCATACATGAGGTCTGACTAAAATCAAAACTTGGAATTCACACAAGAGTAAAGACCATAAGAGAGAGAGAGAGAGAGAGAGAGAGAGAGAGAGAGAGAGAGAGAGAGAGAGAACAAATATAAAAGTTCACTTTCAAATGTGTATATAACATAAAATTGAAAGGACAATTAACAAAAGGATCAATCATATAAGACTCCAAAAGCCTCTTACCTCATTCTCATCCATTAGTAGATTGGCAGTCTTCAGGTCTCTGTGGATAATATTATTTTGATGCAAATAGTTCATTCCCTTGGAGATATCAAGTGCTACTTTGAGTAGAACAGGAAGCTTAAATGCACCCTTTTGTTTATGCAGAAAGTTATAAACACTTCCTCTGGACATGAACTCTGATAACACAGAAACAGGATCATCAAAAAGTGATTATTTTCCTCATAGCAAGGATGAATTATCACTTAGAATTTCACACAAGGTTATAACTTATAACAGACCATAATGCTGGAACAATAGTCACATTTTGGATTAATTCCAATTCGGAATAATAGTCCTTTCCAACAACATAATAATAGCATATAGCATTATACAAATAAAAATTTCACTGGAAGTACCAGTCAAAATGCACAGGTTTGGAGTTTGTGTGCATGCGCCTATGAATTGTACAACATTCTTGTGCCAAATTTTCCTGCAAGAACCAAAACAAGTCGTAAAAAAACAAGAAAAGGCAGAATTTTCTTAATCAGCTTCTTCCAACCAGAACAATCTCCATGAAAGTAGGAACAATCCAATTTTAGCCATACAAACCCAAAACTTCAAATCTATCTCAGGTTGTCTATAAAATCACCACATTTCAGTGCAGATTGAAGGCATGCCAAGAAACAGCAAGCAGCCTCTTCAGCTGGACCCAGATGAACTTTATACGTAATTGATTAAATAATTGAATACCCCTGCAACAAAGAAGCCTAAAAATTTTGAAAAATTTGACATGGACAATGAAGAATCCAGCGAAGTGATTGCCTCGTTGCAATCCTCAGGAAGATATACTGGAAAAATTTTACTACATTTGGGCACAACCTCTAGAAGCATAAAAGAACACTCCTTTCACTATCAATTTTAGAAAAGGATGAACTAACTCGTGCCAGATAAAAATAAAAATAAATAGTGCCTGCCACACGTACAAGGGTTTAATCTAACAGACCTCATAATGAACACTTCCTGGGCAAACTCTCTCAGCATATCTTTATTCACAAGATCAGGCTTGAGGACTTTGATAGCCACCTCCTGACTGCAGTATGTGCCTTTATACCTGAAGAAGACAAATGATATGATATACTGACAGCTCAGACACAATCAGAAATAGGTTGAGAGTGACAAACTCACAGATCACCAAATGAACCAGATCCAACTCTGCTTTCAAATTTCAGCAGGCTAGCATCAATTTCCCAGACATCAGCTCCATCAGTAGGCATTTTCACATAATCAGTAGAGGATTTAGATTGCATTTGGCTAGGTTCGATGATAGGAAACAATGCATGTTCATTTGAACAAATTTTATCCTGCAGAATATTTACAAAAAAATTCATTTACAAATAGATGTGAAAAATCTAGAAATCCCCTAGATGTTGATTTGTGATTATGTATCAAATTTAAACAGAATAAAACAATCCCAATCAAACAATCAAGACAAAGAGACACAACGATTTTAACGTGGAAAAAACCACAATTGGACACCTCCAACTGTGATAAAAAAACCACGGGCAACAGCCACAAGAACAATCCACTACGTTCTAAAGGAATGTTTTAAAAAAAAAAATAGAACGACCTGCTCTGATACCAATTGAAAAATCTAGAAATCCCCTAGATGTTGATTTGTGATTATGTATCTAATTTAAACAGAATAAAACAATCCCAATCAAACAATCAAGACAAAGAGACACAACGATTTTAACGTGGAAAAAACCACAATTGGACACCTCCAACTGTGATAAAAAAACCACGGGCAACAGCCACAAGAACAAACCACTAAGAAGATTTAAAGGAATTACACAGGTATACTCTCAATTATCTAGCGAATCCACAACGCCTAATTGAACCAACCTCTATGTGCCTCTTCCAACCCCATCTTCACCACGGAATTGTCTTTCTGATGAGCCACTCCGGATTCCACCAAAGCTTCAGGCTCGAATTCTTCAGAATCCACAACTGAAGAACAACACTCTCTTTTGTAGAACAAAACACAACCTTTGATGTACTCTCTTTAGAACATGAGATGAAGACTCAATCAAAACATCAAAGAAAACTAGCAAAATCTCTCCAGATATAAACCTTAAGATCCAAAAATAAGATCTGGAGAAGTTTTTTTTTAGTGTTGGGAGAAAACCAACTATTTATAGAAAACCAAAGCAATCCTAATTTCAGAAGAAAACCAACTCTTTAATCAAATTTGGAAATCTGGGATCGCGCGGTCCGCTCGAGCTCAACACAGTCCGCTCGAGCGGACTGACCAAAAACTGCGTGCGAACAAACTGAGATGCGCTCGAGCGTAGGAGAATCCGCTCGAGCGTAAAATCACACCCACCAGTATTTTTTGCTTGCCCTGACAAAATACTGAGACCTGCTAATCTACGCTCGAGCTCACAAGGCTCCGCTCGAGCGGACAGAACAAAAACACAAAAAATTACAATTGAATCAACACAATGTTTTGTCTCCGGATTTGACAACATAGGTAGTACCTTCTCTGAAAAGCACAATTCGGGTTGGATTCGCATCTAAACACTCATAGCCTCACTGAAATAAAAGTGCGAAAATAAATACAACTGAAAGGAGTTTTGTCAAACGGGATTACCAAGAATAAAAACCTAACAATCACTCCATTTGGCAATGCCATGACAAAACACAACAATAAAACCTAACAATCTCCCCCTTTGGCAATGCCGTGACAAAACACACCTAACAAATAAAATCCTAAACACCCCAACCCATTACAGCCAACAAAAGCCAACTTCTTTCTCAAGGTCTTGATCTGCAAAACAATTATTAGTGCCACAATCTCCAAAACAATTATTAGTCCCACAATAGTATATGAAAAAACAATAGACATATGAGACAATTATCTTGAAACATGAGATGAAAAACATGAATAGATGAAGACTAAGACTCGTGAAAAACAACTCTCAAACAACAAAAGCAAATCAAAGACCACCCCAAGCAATGATATGACGATGTAAATATCAGGGGCATGCAAGAAGGGCAAATAGGGCATAGCAACATGCAAAACAAATAGCCAATCTCCCTTACCAAAACATATCAAAATGAACCAAACTCCCCCTCACTAAAAGCAACCACAAACACTGAAAACAGTGAAACAGTGAACAAGAAGAAAACGATAAAAATAACATGGTGGAGCAAGCAAGGAATTTCAGATTAGTACCTTAAAACACATAAGATTATCCAAGAAGCACAATTACAAGAAAACACAATATGCACAGTCTGTAGAAAATTCCTCATGAAAGAAAGTGATGTATTATGTGAAAAGCATAGATCCCATGATAAAAATTGTGTGTGTGACTCTTGGAGTTCGA